TGACAGGTTAAAACCCCCAACTTGGTTTATTATTTTAGGTTCTGATACGAGATGTTAGCCCCCAGGTGGAGGGAATCGAGGGAACTCTAGAGTGAGAGCTGGTATCTTTCCTGCCTAGCGGTCTTTGAACTATTCAAACTTTAAATTAGTCAATGTTCTTTATAACATCTATAGTAAGGGTAAAGAATATAATTGCTCATATTTGACACAACACAATTCACATACTTCCACAACAGAATTCTTATACTTATTACTGATTCATGTTAAGGAGAAAGATATTTTTCAAATTGAGTGTTTTTCTGTTACATAAACTCAAGTTATCTTTTTAAATTGTTATTATTCTATGAAAATATCAAAAATACCAAAAAAATTTGAATTTTAATAATGCGAAAGTATTTTTAGTTTAAGTAATTTTCTTTTTAGAATAGAAAGTTTGTTGTTTAATAGTGCATATTGCGTATTTTCCTGTGGATTCGATATTCAGGTCTTAATCAAAAAGTCTTATATTACTTGATAACGATACGTATACTAGCGTAGTATCCCAATATAAATCTAAATTAAAGAGTTAAATTCTTATTTTCGACAGGATCAAGTTTTTGGTTCTGTTGCAAAGTAAGGAAACATAAGTGAAAAATATCATCAAAGACATTGTTATATTGTTGCATATAAGCAATTTCGGGATTACGCGTCAGTTTGGCTGGTTTGGTATTATTCTTTAGTTTAGCCCATTTTGCTCCTTTTAAATGTATTTTTTCTCATTTTTTACTCTTAAACTCTTTTTCTTGCACCTGCAACAAAAAACATAAAAATACATTTCATTAAAAGAAAATATTCTAAAAAATTGAGCATAAAATGTGCATAAAACATATGTAATTTTAAGGTGGATCAGTTACCAAATGTTGGGTTGGATAAAATCTATTGGGTTAAGGCCATAAAATATGTCTATCACTTGGTGAAATGTCTGTCTTTTGAAGTTATTAGCAAGCTGACCCCAAAGGAGATGTGGTCACGACATCCTGTTAGAGATTATGAGCACATTAGGGTATTTGAGTATCCAGCTTATTACCATGTGCGGAATGATAAACTGGAACCACAAGTTAAGAATGTAATCTTTATTGGCTTTAAGCGTAGAGTCAAAGGCTTAAAGCTGCATGATCAGGCAAAAAGGAAGGTTTTCGTTAG